CTAATTTATAAAATTTATTATCTTTAAGAAAAAAAAAGTATATCTTGATTCTAAATATACAACGTGTACAACGAAACATTTTTTTTGAGCATAAAGCTATGAAAAAAAATACTTGTCAGAGAAATTTTTAAAAAAGTTAAATAAAAAACGCAGTGAACTGAAACATCTAAGTAGCTGTAGGAAAAGAAATCAACCGAGATTTCGGAAGTAGTGGCGAGCGAACCCGAAAAAGCCCAATAAATTCCATTGTCAAAATATAGGGTTGAAACCCCGTTTTAGGAATTATTATTTGTGAGTACTGCGAGGCATGTGTAACCTTGTAGGAATATTAGAAAACCACTTCTAAAGGCTAAATATTGTTTAGAAATCGATAGTGAAAAAGTACTGTGAAGGAACGATGAAAAGATTATCTAGGTTGAGTGAAAAGATCTTACAATTTTTTTTCGATAAGTAATCAAAGTTTTTATAAAAAATAATGATGTACCTTTTGCATCATGGGCCAACAAGTTAAAACATATAGCAAGCTTAATTTTAAAAGTAGGCGTAGAGAAATCGAGTTCGAAAGAATGTTAAAGTTATTTGTTTTAGACCCGAAACCAAGTGATCTAACTATGAGCAGGTTGAAGTTTTTTGAAAGAAAAATGGAAGGCCGAACCCGTATCTGTGGCAAAAGATTGGGATGACTTGTAGTTAGGGGTGAAAGGCCAATCAAACTTGGAGATAGCTGGTTTTCCGCGAAATCTATTTAAGTAGAGCGTCTTTGTATTTTCGATATCTGGGGTAGAGCTCTCGATGGGTGCGGGGGGCTTCGGCTTTACCAAGCTCACTGAAACTACGAATACGGAATATTTGAACAAAGGCAGACAGACTTTGGGTGCGAAGATCCTAAGTCAAGAGGGAAACAGCCCTGAATGCATAATAAGGTCTCTAATTTCTATTGAGTGATAAAGGCTAAAAAACTCGAGGATAATCAAAAGGTAAGCTTGGAAGCAGCTATCCTTGAAAGAAGGCGTAATAGCCCATTGAGTAAGAGTTTTTTATCCGATAATGTATTGAGACTATATAGAAAACCGAATTAGCATATTATTTTATATAATGGTAGCGGAATGAAGTATATATCTAAACAGTTAAATTGATAAATTTAATTAAGATTTTACTTATAAGAATGTTGGCATGAGTAACAAAAAATAACGGTCAAAACATAATCGTTATCACCGAAAATCCTAGGTTTACATAGAAAAGAACGACTTCTATGTGTTAATCGGTCTCTTAGGGTTACGCGAAAGTTATACCTGATGAGAAATTTTTATTTCTTTTTTTTATTCGTTTATAGATAAAAAATATTTATCATAAACCAAGAAATTCATTAAAAATATATAAAAAAATAAAACCGTACTAAAACTGATACAAGTGGATAGGTAGAATATACTAAGGTGTTTGGAATAACTATGTTGAAGGAACTCGGCAAATTAGCTTTGTAACTTCGGAAGAAGAAGTGTCTTTTTTATAAAAAAGATAACATTAAAGAAGGGGGAACGACTGTTTAACAAAAACACAGGACTCTGCAAAATTGAAAGATGACGTATAGGGTCTGACACCTGCCCGGTGCTAATTAGTTAAAAGGATATGTATAAGCATTGAATAAAAGCGTTAGTAAACGGCGGCCGTAACTCTGACGGTCCAAAGGTAGCGAAATTCCTTGTCGGGTAAGTTCCGACCTGCATGAATGGTGTAACGATTCCCCCACTGTCTCCAACATAGATCCAGTGAAATTAAGATACCTGTGAAGACGCGGGTTACTCGTGGCTAGACGGAAAGACCCCGTGCACCTTTACTGCATCTTGTTATTGTTTTAAGAAAAAAAATATGTAGAAATAGGTGGGAGTTTATACATTCTTGAAATACCACTAATTTTTTTTCGAGAAACTAATCTGTATAGAGACAGTAATAGGTTGGTAGTTTGGCTGGGGCGGCCTCCTCCTAAAAAGTAACGGAGGAGTACAAAAGGTAAGCTCAAATTATTTAAAATTAATTGAGGAGCGCAATGGTAAAAGCTTGCTTAACTGAAAGATTTATCGATCTATCAGGAACGAAAGTTGGTCATAGTGACCCAATAGTACTTTGTGGAAAGGCTATTGCTCAACAAATAAAAGGTACGCCGGGGATAACAGGCTAATGACTCCTAAGAGTCCTTATCGACGGAGTCGTTTGGCACCTCGATGTCGGCTCATCACATCCTGGGGCTGGAGCAGGTCCCAAGGGTTCGGCTGTTCGCCGATTAAAGTGGTACGCGAGCTGGGTTCAGAACGTCGTGAGACAGTTCGGTCCCTATCTACCATGAGTGTAAGAAAATTGAGAGAATCCGACCTTAGTACGAGAGGACCGGGAAGGGCTAACCTCTGGTGGATCAGTTGTTGAAAGGCATTGCTGAAAAGCTAAGTTAGTAATGAATAATTATTGAATTCATATAAATAAGAAGTCAATCTCAAAAAAAATTTTCTTTTAAAGTTCGTGAAAGACTATCACGTTGATAGGCCTAGGGTGTAATTTGTGTAAACAATTTAGCTAAAGGTACTAATGAAACTGTAATAATAAATTTTATTTTTAATTTTTTTTTTTTGTTATTTAAAGGTAAAAAGAATATAAAGAAACCGTGTTTGGAACTTTTATCTTATAACTTACAACACCTTTTTTTTGGTTGTTATTTTTTTTTTCCTATTTTTTTATTATGTTTGACTTTTATTTGTCAACTTTTTGACTTTAGTATTTCTAAAGTTTATAATATTGTTTTAATGGGAACTAGTATTAGTTTTTATTATTGCATTTGATTATTATTAAAATTTTTTGAATCTTCAGATATTTGAGGACTTCCTATAGAGTTTCAAATTGATTTAATTTTACATCCTTCATTAAATTATGTTCTTCCTATAGGGGTAGATAGTTTATCTATTTGATTTGTTATTTTGAATCATTTAATTATTTATTTATCTCTTTTATATACTTTCTCTACACAAAATAAACAATATGGTTTTATTTATTGTTTACTTTTATTACAATGAGGAATTGGAGGAGCTTTTATGGTATTTGATCTTTTAGGATTTTTTATTTTTTTTGAATTAACTTTAATTCCTATCTATTTATTAATTTTAATTTATGGTTCTCGTGAACGTAAAATTCGAGCAAGTTATTTAATTTCATTATATACTTTATTTGGTTCTATTTTTATGTTTTTTAATATATTTTATTGTTTTGCAAAATTTGGTACAACAAACTTTTTTGTATTGATGACTTTAGATTTTGCTCCTGAAGACGCAAAATTTTTATGAATTACATTTTTTATTGCTTTTGCAGCAAAAATACCTATGATTCCTTTTCATATTTGATTACCAGAAGCTCATGTTGAAGCTCCTACTATTGGTTCAGTAATACTGGCTGCTTTACTTTTAAAATTAGGGACCTATGGTATTTTACGCTTTTTATTACATTTATTTCCTGAAGCTACATTGTATTTTAGTCCTTTGATTAATGTCTTTGCTTTGATTAGTATTGTATTTACAAGTTTAACTGCAATACGTCAAATTGATTTAAAAAAAATTATTGCTTATTCTTCTATTGGACATATGAATGTTGTATTATTAGGAATGCTTATTCCTTCTGTAGAAAGCTTAGAAGGGGCTATCTTTCAAATGTTAAGCCATGGTATTATTGCAGGAGCACTTTTTTTTATTGTGGGGGCTTTTTACCAACGATATAAAGTACGCTCTTTAGAATATTTTGGAGGTTTTATGATAACCGCTCCTTTATTAGCAACTTTTTTTTTAATTTTTTCGATGGCAAATATTAGTTTTCCAGGAACAAGTAGTTTTATTGGAGAGTTTATGATTTGTTTCGGATTATTTGAGTATAATAGTTTTGCTGTTATTATAGCTTCTATTAATATGGTTACAGGAGCTGCATATACTTTATGAGCTTTAAATCGTGTTAATTTTGGAAATTTAAAATCTCAGTATATTTTAAGTTATGGAGATGTTAATCGTTTAGAATTTTATATTTTTTGTTTATTAGTTACTTTAATGATTTTAATGGGTATTTTTCCTAATTTTATTTTAGGAATTTTACATAGTGTTTCTCATTTTTTAGCTTTTACTTTTTAATTAAATTATGTTATCTAAATCTTACGAAACTAAATGATTAAATAAAATTACTCGTAAAAATTTAAATAGGTTTTATGACCATTATATTTTAGGTCAAAATATCTTATTAAATGATCTTATTACTTTACAGAATTTAACAAATTCTACAGATGTTCAATTTTTTTTAGATAAAACACAAACAAAAAATGATAATTTTCATATAGGTTCAGATTTTGTAGGACCTCAAACATATACTCAATTATTAGAATATAACAGTTTTTTATTTTTTGGGTTTGAACCACGTTTTGAAGCAAGTTTATTAAATATTTGTCTTGCGCGTCTTCGTGAAGATAATAATAGTGATATTTTAAATTATGGATCTGCATTTGAAAATTTTTTTAGTAATGGACATAAAGGATCAAGTTTAAAGAATATTTTAGTTTTATTAGAAGGAAGAGATTCTTTATTAAAAGAATATCGTTTTATTAAAGCAACTAAAATATTTTATGGTTCTGAATATAATTCTTTAACTCGTAATATTCAAGTATTAATGAACTTTTTAGCACAAAAATTTTATACTAAAAGTTCTTTTTTGAGTTCTAATTTAACTACTTTACATTTTTTAGAATTATTTGGAGGTTCGAGTTTTCAAAAATTTGCTGCTAAAACAAAAGAAAAATCTCTTGATAGTGTATCTTATACTCTTTCAAGTTGATTTTTAAATAGTAATGTTTCAAAAATGCCAAAAAAACATCCGAAAAATGTTATTTCAGATATTTTTGAATTAGGGCTTTATACCAATACTTCTTTTGAAAAAAATGTAGGTTTAGTTACAAAAATGCCTATTACATCTTTTTATGAAAATGAAGGTTTAAGTTTATCTATTTTTGGTAAAATTAATAAAACACGTAAAGTTTCGTCAATTTCAAATTCAAACTTATATTCAATTCAAATTTGAATTTCTCAGTTTTATTTTTTTATGTTTGAATTAACGGCTTTATTTTGAAAATGATGAATTTTTGATTTAAAACGTTCTTATAGTTTAGCAGAATTAGAAAATATCGATAAATTAGAAGTTAAAAAATTTTCACATTTATCTATTAATAATTTTGATGAATTTGGTGATTTAAAAAATGAAGATATCTTCATAAATTTAACTGATTACTTTTGTTTATTAAATTTATATAATATTAATGCACAAAGTAATATTCACCAATATAAAAAAATGAATTTTGATATTTCTTTTAATAAACAAAAATTATTAAATGGATTAAGTACTCCTCAGGTATTTAATTTTTATACTAATAATCTTATTTTAAAACATTCAACTACTATGGTAAATTTATCATATGTTTATTCTTCTAATCTTTTATTAAAATAAGAAATAGTTTACGAGCTCATAGTTCAATTGGTAGAACATATCGCTCATAACGGTAATTGTATAGGTTCGATCCCTATTGGGCTTAAACTCCGGAAAGGTGACTGAGTGGTTTAAGGTGTTAGTTTGCTAAACTAAAGTATTGTTTAAGTACCGTGGGTTCGAATCCCATCTTTTCCGAAAAAATTTTTAGATTATTTTATATGATGCGTCTAGTACAAACACAAAAACATCCGTTTCACGTTGTAGATTCTAGCCCATGACCGTTATTCACAGCATTAAGTGTTTTTTTAACTTTTTCTGGTTTAACTTTATATATGCATTTTTATTCTAAAGGAGGATTTATCCTTGCTTTAGGACTTTTTTTTGTAGTAATTTGTGCCTCTTTTTGATGACGTGATGTTGTTCGTGAGGCTACTTTTGAAGGACAACATACCTCTTTTGTTCGTAATGGTTTAAAAATGGGTATGGTTTTATTTATTATTTCTGAAGCAATGCTTTTTTTTGCTTTTTTTTGAGGATTCTTTCATGCAAGTTTAAATCCAGTACCTGAGATTGGATGTGTTTGACCTCCTAAAGGTATCGAAGCATTAAATCCATTTCATGTACCTTTTTTAAATACTCTTGTATTAGTACATTCTGGAGCAATGGTTACTTGAGCTCACTATAGTGTTTTAGCAGGAAATCGTCGTGATGCTATTTCTGCTTTAATTTTTACTATTTTATTAGCAGTTTTCTTTACTTTTTTACAAGCTTATGAATATGTAAATGCACCTTTTGGTCTTTCTGATAATGTTTATGGTTCTGTATTTTTTATGACTACAGGTTTACATGGTTTTCATGTTATTATTGGAACTCTTTTTTTAGCTGTTTGTTTAATTAGATTAATTACTCATCATTTAACAAAAAAAATTCACGTAGGATTTGAAGCAGCAATTTGATATTGACATTTTGTTGATGTTGTTTGAATCTTTGTGTTTATTTTTATTTATTGATGAGCTTTTCCAGTAGAAGTTTAATAGCTTAAAATCCGTAATAAGATTTTAAAATAAGACAAAATAGCTCAGTTTGGTTAGAGCGGTGGAATCATAATCCATAGGTCGTGAGTTCGAGTCTCACTTTTGTCAGCTTTTTTTTTTAGATAAATTTAATATGGCTAATTCTACTTCGATGTCGTTTTCTAGTTCATTTCGCTCATTTGTAATGCGCTGATTATTTTCTAGTAATCATAAAGACATCGGGATTTTATACTTAATTTTTGGAGCTTTTGCTGCAGTTATTGCAGTAGCACTTTCTTTATTAATCCGTATGGAATTAGCAGCACCTGGAGATCAAATTTTCCAAGGAAATTATCAATTATATAATGTAGCTATTACAGCACATGGATTAATTATGCTTTTTTTTGTAGTTTTTCCTATTTTAGGAGGAGGTTTTGGTAATTATTTTGTACCTTTAATGTTAGGGGCTCCTGACATGGCTTTTCCTCGTTTAAATAATATTAGTTTTTGACTTTTTCCTCCTGCTATTGCTTTTTTATTATTATCTTCATTAGTAGAGTCTGGAGCAGGTACTGGATGAACTGTATATCCTCCTTTATCTTCTATTCAAGGACATTCTGGACCTTCTGTAGATTTAGCAATTTTTAGTTTACATGTTTCTGGAGCTTCTTCTGTTATTGGATCTATTAACTTTATTGTTACTATTTTTAATATGAGAGCACCTGGAATGTTTATGCATAAAATTCCTTTATTTGCATGAGCTGTATTAATTACTGCATTTTTACTTGTAATTTCTTTACCTGTAGTTGCAGGAGCTATTACAATGCTTTTAACTGATCGTAATTTTAATACTACTTTCTTTGATCCAGCTGGAGGAGGAGATCCTATTTTATATCAACATTTATTTTGATTTTTTGGGCATCCTGAAGTATATATTTTAGTACTTCCAGCTTTTGGGGTTATTAGTCAAATTTTATCTAGAAATGCTCGTAAACCTATTTTTGGATATTTAGGAATGGTTTATGCTATTATTTCTATTGGAATCTTAGGATTCTTAGTATGAGCTCACCACATGTATACTGTAGGTTTAGATGTGGATACTCGTGCTTATTTTACTGCAGCTACTATGATTATTGGAGTACCTACAGGAATTAAAATTTTCAGTTGAATTGCTACTATTTGAGGAGGTTCTTTAGATTTAAATAAAACTTCTTCTTTATGAGCACTTGGATTTTTAATTTTATTCTCATTAGGAGGTATTACAGGAATCGCTTTAGCAAATGCAGGTTTAGATATTGCATTCCATGATACTTATTACGTTGTAGGACATTTCCATTATGTGCTTTCTATGGGAGCAGTTTTTGGAATTTTCGGAGGTTTTTATTTTTGATTTGAAAAAATTTTTGGATTAAGTTATCCTGAAATTTTTGGAAAAATTCATTTTTGACTTACCTTCTTAGGAGTTAATATTACTTTTTTCCCTATGCATTTCTTAGGACTTGCAGGAATGCCTAGACGTATTCCAGATTATCCTGATGCATATGCTGGATGAAACTTTATTGCTTCTGTAGGTTCTTATATTTCTATTATTGCATTTTTATTATTCTTCGTTCAAACTTATTTAGTTTTCTTTAGTAAACCTGAAGATCAAGCTTTTGGTATTGAAGAAGCAAAAAAAAATGCGTCTGTAGAAAAAATATTAGTTTAATTCTTTAGATATTTTAAATATTGTTTAGGTTCCTTCGTCTAATGGTAGGACATTACCTTTTCACGGTAAGAATATGAGTTCAATTCTCATAGGAATCAGATTTAACAAATATAGATTAATTGGTAAATCAGCTGCCTTCCAAGCAGTAGTTATGGGTTCGATTCCCATTATTTGTATTCATGGATAAATGGCTGAGTGGTTTAAGGTGTTAGTTTTGAAAACTAGCGTGTTGTTAAGGCACCGTAGGTTCGAATCCTACTTTATCCGTTATGTTTTCAAATTCTTATTTTGATCTTGGAATGGCAAAAGCTTGACAATTCGGATTTCAAATCCCAGCTTCTCCTGTGATGGAAGGTATAGTTAACTTTCATCATGATTTATTTTTTTTTTTAGTAGTAATCATAGGTTTTGTAGCTTATGTTTTATGAAGAAGTATCGTTCTTTTTAATAGCGATGCTAATAAAGTTCCTTATGTAGTAACTCATGCAGCTGCATTAGAAATTATTTGAACTATTTTACCTGCGGTGATTTTAGTTCTTATTGCAATTCCTTCATTTTCTTTATTATATTCGATGGATGAGATTGTAGAGCCTTTATTAACTATTAAAGTTATAGGACATCAATGATATTGATCTTATGAGTTCGTAAATCCTTATTATTTATATAAAGATATGTTAAAATTACATGGTTTAAGTGATTTATCAAAACAGTTTTTTTCTGATGATAGTGGTTCTGTTATTACTTATGATAGTTATATGATTTCAAATGATGATGCTGTTTCTCGTGAACAACGTTTATTAGAAGTAGATAATAAACTTTATTTACCAGTAGAAACTAACGTACGTCTTTTAGTTACTTCTGCAGATGTAATCCATTCTTGAGCAGTTCCTTCTTTAGGGGTAAAAATTGATGCTTGTCCAGGACGTTTAAATCAAACTTCTGTTTTTGTAAAACGCCCAGGAATTTTTTATGGACAATGTTCTGAAATTTGTGGAGTAAATCACGGATTTATGCCTATTGTAGTTTTTGGTTTAGATTTATTAGGAGATGGTACTTCTTTAGATAGTATTAAAACTGAAGGTGTTTCTTCACTTTATTTTTTTTTTCTTAAAAAAAAATATGATTAATTTTTAGATTTTTTATATGTTTAATTTATTTATTATTATCTTTATTACAAGTTTAATTTTAGGTTCTTTAAGTTTATTAGTTTTAATGTTAAATACTATACATTCTTTATTACTTTTATTAGAATTATTTATTATAGGTTCTTTACTATTATTTTTTTTTAAAGTAGAATTTTTAGGATTAATTTTTTTGATGATATATTTAGGAGCAATTCTTGTTCTTTTTCTTTTTGTAGTAATGATGCTTGATATAAAAACAACTGCAGTTCAAAATGATGATTTAAACCAATTTATATTTAAAGGTTTAGGGTTATTTTTTTTTATTCCAGTATTTGTTTGATGAATCTTTGGAGATGTTATTTTTTTATCAGCAATGTGACAGTCGTTTGTACAAACTGCAGTTCATTGATCTTTTTCATTATCTATTCTTGACTTTTTTCAATTAATAAATTTTTCATCAAATTTAGAAGTTGTAGGTTGATATATTTTTGATTTTCAACCGATTTTATTTTTGTTATGTGGTGTTATTTTATATATTGCAATGATAGGAGCTATTGTAGTTTCAGTAGATAGTCAAATGAATAGTAACCAAAAAATACAAAATGCATTAGTACAGGGGATGCGTCGTGGAAATATTATTTCTTATATGACTTCTCATGTAGATCAGCGTCATTGAAAAATGATTCCTAAATTACATTGAAGTCCAAATATTGTTCATTACCCAAAACCAAAAGATTTCTTTTGAACATGATTAGGAAAAAATACATTTTAAAAAATTTTTAATAGTTTAAAATAAGGGTGGTTAGCTCAATTGGTAGAGCATTTCATTTACACTGAAAGGGTTACAAGTTCGAGTCTTGTACCGCTCAAAATAATATTATTATTTAAATATGTTTGGATGATTTAGTATCTCTGATATTTGTATTTTTATAAGTTTATGTTTCATTTTTTTAGCTTTAATAGGTTTGTTGATTAACCGTTTAAATATTCTTATTAGTTTAATTTGTATTGAATTAATGTTTTACGGTGTTAATATTTCGTTAATTATTTTTAGTTCTATATTAGACGATCAGTTTGGAAGTTCTGCAACACTTTTTATAGTAACAGTAGCTGCTTCTGAATCTGCAATTGCATTAGCATTGCTTGTACGTTTTTTTAGAGGTTTTAGTGATATTTTTTTAGAAGATTTTTAATAATATGTTACAACGCGGTTCTGTAGTAGAAATTGTAGATAATTCAGGAGCACGTGTTGGTAAATGTATTTGTGTTCTAGAAGGATTCTTTAATAAAACTGCCGTAGTAGGTTCTTTAATAGTACTTTCTATTCGTGGTATTCGATCAGGTAGTCGTCGAGTAAAAGCAGGACAAGTATCTTTAGCTGTAATTGTTCGTACGAAAGCTTGAACTAAATTTAAAGACGGAAGTCAGTCACGTTTTCAACGAAATTGTGCTGTTTTATTAACTAGAAAAAAACAAATTTTAGGGACTAAAGTTTTTGGTCCGGTATCGCGACAATTAAGAAAAAAAAAATATTTACGTATTTTATTAGCTTCTGGTTCTAATTTTTTTTAATAATTATGAAAAATCTTTCTTTAATTACTAAAGATTTATATTATATAAGTACTTTCAATAAAAAATATTATAATTCTCAAAAAAAAGAAATTAGTTTTCAAATTAGTTGTCCGTTAATACAAACAGGTTTTCATAAAAAAAATTATTTTAATTTTATTTATTTTTTATTTTTTGTTTCTAATATTAAACCAAAATTACGTATAGCAAAAACTAGTAATGCTCTTTTAAAAGTACGTAAAGGTGCTTTAATTGAAACTTTTTTTTCTTTACAAAATTTTCAAGAATTAAAAACTTTATTTTTTTTTTTAGATTTTAATTCTTATATTAAAGATTTTAAAACTTCAATATATAAAAATTCTTCAATGAATAACTCTTGAAAATTAAAATTAGTTATTGAATCAAAAAATTTACATTTTCTTCAATTATTATTAGGACAGTCTTTTTTTTTTCATTTAGTGTTTAAGTTTCCTCACTTATGTAAAAAAAAACAACTTTTTTTAATATCAACTTTATAAGTTATGAATTTTTTATTATTAGAAAAAACAGTAAAATTTAAATATTTAAGACATTTTTTTAAAAAAGCAAATAATTCATTAGCTCTTTATTTAGTATTAAATCAAAGAAAAAATTTATCTTTATTAAAAACTAAATATAATTTAATGACAATGCAAGTACCTAACCTTTTTTTGAATTTATTATTAGATAAAAAAAGTAAATTAAAATGAAAGTGATTATCTATTTTACAAGGGATTATTTATCTTTGTGTAAGTTTTGATTATAATTTTAATATTTTAAATTTAAAAAGTTTAGTAAATAGCAAAAAAGATTTTTTTATTTTAGGAGGATTTTATCGTAATTTATTTTTATCTTGAGAATCATGAAAATGGTTTTTAGATAAAATGTCATTATTAGGAGCTTCTTCTCAAAAAGAATTACGTTTTGCTTCGTTAAGTAGTTTTTTATTTAAAGTTATTTACTTTTTATCATTTTTTATTTTGATGAATTTATTATACATTAAATTATTATTTAAACAAATAGAAAATTTAGAAATTTAATTTAAAAATATATGGCAACACGTTCACAATTAATAGAGAATCAAAGAAAAAAAAAATTTAGGTCTGCAAAAAAAGCTGCTTTACAAGGAAATCCGCAAAAAAAAGGGACTATTGTAAAATTAATTGTTCGTAGTCCGAAAAAACCTAATTCGGCAAATCGTAAATTAGCTTATGTACGTTTAGTTACAGGGAAAAAAGTTTACGGTTATATTGGAGGAATGGGTAAACACGGGTTGCAGGAGCATTCAGTTGTTCTAATTCGTGGAGGACGTATTAAAGATTTACCAGGAGTAAAATATCGTTTAATTCATGGAGTTTATGATTTTCCAGGAACATCTGGAAGAAGGACTGCTCGTTCTAAATATGGAGCAAAAAGTCCTTTTGTTACTTAAATTCTATTTAAAAAAAGTTGAATTATATAAAATTTTAAAGTGAGAAAACTTGGACATTTATATTAATTATTAAATTATGTTTATTAAAAGAAAATTAAAAGAAACTGAAATTAAAGATTTTACATTAAATTTTGGTCCGCAACACCCTGCAGCACATGGTGTTTTACGCCTTATTTTAGAATTAAATGGAGAAACCATTAAAAATGCAGATCCGCATATTGGTTTATTACATAGGGGGACTGAAAAATTAATTGAAAATCGTAATTATTTACAAGCTTTACCTTATTTTGATCGTTTAGATTATGTTTCTATGATGGTACAAGAACATGCTTATTCATTAGCTGTAGAACGTTTATATGGTATAAATATTCCACAACGTGCGCAATGAATTCGAGTTTTATTTTCCGAAATTACACGTATTTTAAATCATTTATTAGCAATAGGTTGTCATTCTATGGATGTAGGGGCAATGACTCCATTACTTTGAGGTTTTGAAGAACGTGAAAAATTAATGGAATTTTATGAACGTGTTTCTGGAGCAAGAATGCATGCCAGTTATATACGCCCAGGAGGAGTTGCACAAGATCTTCCTAGTGGATTTGTAGAAGATGTTTATAGCTTTATTTTAGATTTTTCGGTACGTTTAGATGAAATTGAAGAATTATTAACAAATAATCGTATTTGAAAACAACGTTTAGTTAATGTGGGTATTGTAACTGCAAAACAAGCAATTCAAAATGGATTTAGTGGGGTAATGCTTCGAAGTACAGGAATACCTTGAGATTTACGTCGTAGTCAACCTTATGAAATTTATGATAAAGTACCATTTCGTATTCCTGTAGGAACTCGTGGTGATTGTTATGATCGTTATTTAATACGTATGCAAGAAATGCGTCAAAGTTTACGTATTATGATGGCATGTTTAAAATATTTACCTGGAGGATCTATTAAAAGTGATGATAAAAAATTTGTACCACCTTTACGCTGAGAAATGAAAAATTCTATGGAATCTGTAATACATCATTTTAAATATTTTACTGAAGGGTTTAAAGTACCTGCAGGTCAAACATACGCAGCAGTTGAAGCTCCTAAAGGAGAAATGGGGGTTTTTCTTATTTCAGATGGATCTAATCAACCATTCCGCTGTAAAATTAAAGCACCTGGTTTTTTCCACTTACAAAATTTACCTGAAATGACAAAACATCATATGATTGCAGATGTTGTTACTATTATCGGGACTCAAGATATTGTATTTGGAGAAGTTGATCGTTAAAGCTGTAAGATTTTATTTAAAAAGGATAAAAATTTAAATTTTATAATTTTTGATTATTTAGTTTATACTGAAAAGTATAAACGCACCCAGTGCTATAATATTAATTGCAATAGGTTCTACAAAAATTAAAGAATAATTATTTAATAATATATATGAAATACTAAAAATTATTAAAAAACTTAAAGAAATTATTAATAAATAATGAAATAAAAAAGTAAAAGGAAGTCTATTCATACGTGTTGTAATATTATATAAAAGACGATATAAACCTTCTGGACCTAAAAATTCAATAATTCCTCTATCTACTTTTTGATAAGTTTGTTTATAACCAAAATTTAAGATATTTTGATTTATTCATTCATTATAAATTTTATCAAAAAATCATTTTTTATTTAAAAAAGTGTAAAGAATACGGAAAGTTTTATTTAATTTAATTTTTAAAAATAATGTAGTAAAATAAGTATTTAATGTATTGTAAATTAAAAAACTAGAAAATGCTCCTAAAAAAGTAAAAATTAAAGGTAATAATTTTATTAAATTATCTAAATTTTCTAATTCTAAAAAAGTATTATTGTCGTATAATCTTCCTATACTAGTTTGTCAGTAGTTAGATGCAAATCCAATAATGAGCTCATTAAAAAGATATCCTGCACAAAATCCTGCAATAGATAATATAATTAATGGAGCGTTCATTCAAAAACCACTTTCATGGCTTTTTTCAAAATAATTTTTAAACCCTAATGGTTTTTGTAAAAATGTACGTGCAAGTGAACGTACCGAATAAAAAGCTGTAATAAAAGCTCCTAAAATTCCTAAAGAAAATCCAAAAGAACTTTCTAAGGTTAAAAAAGAAGATCCTGCTTCTAAAATAGCATCTTTTGAAAAGAATCCTGTTAAAAAAGGAAATCCTATTAAAGATAAAGATCCTATTAATATTACTATAAAAGTAAAGTATAAAAAGTTTTTTAATCCACCGAATTTACGCATATCTTGTTCATCTTGTAAAGCATGAATTACAGACCCAGCTCCCATAAATAAAGCTGCTTTAAAAAAAGCATGGTTGGTTAAATGATAAAAAGCTATATCATAGTGGGAAACTCCACAAGCAAAAACCATATAACCTAATTGGCTACAAGTTGAATAAGCAATTACACGTTTTAAATCATTTTGAACTAATCCTATAGTCCCGGCAATAAAAGCTGTTAAACTTCCTAATATGGTAATAAGAATTCCAATATTAGGACTATATTCAAAAAGATAAAAAGTACGACAAATTAAAAAAACTCCTGCAGTAACCATAGTTGCTGCATGAATAAGAGCAGATACTGGTGTAGGTCCTTCCATTGCATCAGGAAGTCAAGTATGTAATCCTATTTGTGCTGATTTTCCAACAGCCCCTACAAAAAGTAATAAACTAATTAAAGAAATAGTCTCAAAAGAAAAACTTCCTATATAAGTTAAATAATGTTGCGAAAAATAGGTAGAAGAAATTTGTAATAAATCATAATCAATTGTTTTAAAAGTAGTAAAAGTTAAAAATAAACCAAGAGCAAGACCAAAATCTCCTATTCTATTTA